ATTAGAAGAAGAACTACATAAACGAGTAATAGGACAAAATGAAGCAGTAACAGCAGTTAGTGATGCAATTATTCGAAGCAGAGGAGGATTAGGAAATGAAAAACGACCAACAGGTAGTTTTATGTTTTTAGGACCAAGTGGAGTAGGAAAAACAGAATTAGCAAAAGCATTAGCAGTTGAGTTATTTGATGACGAACAAAATATAGTTAGAATAGATATGAGTGAATATATGGAAAGTCATAGTGTATCAAGATTAATAGGAGCACCACCAGGATATGTAGGATATGAAGAAGGAGGACAATTAACAGAGGCAATTCGTAGAAAACCATATAGTGTAATATTATTTGATGAAATTGAAAAAGCACATCCACAAGTATTTAATGTATTATTACAATTATTAGATGAAGGAAGATTAACAGATGGAAGAGGAAGAACAGTTGATTTTAAGAATACTATTGTTATTATGACATCAAATTTAGGAAGTGAAATAATAATGAAAGGAGTAGAAACAGAAGGACAAGTTAGTAGAAAAGTTAAAGAAACAGTAATGGAAATAGTAAAGAAAACATTTAAACCAGAGTTTCTTAATAGATTAGATGATATTATAGTATTCTCACCACTTTCAGAGAAAGAATTAAAAGAAATAGTTAAAATACAAATGGGAGAAGTGATTAAAATGATTAAAAAGAGATATCCATTAAGTGAGGTAGAAATGACAGAATCAGCAATAGAAGGAATCATTAAATCAGGATATTCAATAGCATATGGAGCAAGACCAATGCGACGATATATAGAAAAGACAGTAGTAACTTCAATAACAAAATCAATAATAAGTGGAATGATGAAAGAGAAGAATAAAATTCAAATAGATTATAAAAATGATAAAATTCAAGTCAAAATAACAGATAAATAAATGATAATAATAATTGAATGTATTTAGTAAATAAAATTATTTGAAAGATAAATTAAAGAATAATATAAAATACTATTCATTTCAATAACAATGAATGTTTTAAATTTAAAATCATATTCAATAATTAATATTTATTTTCAAGAATGATAATTATTGAAATATATGTGATATTTTAATTATTATATTGATAATTAAGAATATTGTTTATATTCTTTCTTTTTTTTTTGTTTTTGTGTTTTAATTGTTGAAATTCCATATTCTTTGTAATTTCTTTTCTTCTCTAGATATCACAGGAATGTGTTCTCTCTTTATTAATTTCTTCTTCTAGTATAGTATTTTATTTTTCATATCATTTCTTCAATTGAAATAATTTATTACTTATTTCTTCATCTTTATTACATCCTTCTATTATTTTCTTCATTTGATTCTTTATTATTTCTATTGTGTTAATTGTTTCTTGACTTTTTTCTATTATTAGTTTTCTTCTTCTTTCTGTTTC